AACCACTTGGTAAATGTTTGGGGGATTAATGGAAGGCACATAAATGATAATGAGAGAATTTATTCATTCATTCATGAATTAATCCAAGGTCCTTCTAGGTATAAAATGCTATAGTATGAATATTCCTATTGAATATGAAATAGCATTGTACATTAGAATATGGCCTAACTCCTACATTTAAAATACTAATATACATAGTAAAGTAACCATATAAGATACATGTATATAATACGTGTGTATACAGTAGCACCCCGTTATCCAAAGGGGATATGTTCCAAGACCCTCAGCGGATGCCTGAAACTGTGGATAGTATTGAAGCTTATACATACGATTTTTCCTAAACATACATACCTGTGGTACAGTTTAATTTATAAATTAGACCCAGTAAGAGATTAACAATGACTAACAATAAAATAGAACAGTTATAACAATATACTGTAATAAGTTATGTGAATGCAGTCTCTCTCTCTCTCTAAATATCTTATTGCACAAATTCAATGCCTTTTCCATATTAATAAGCACATATCACATACCGTGGTCATAACTTTTGCAGTCTGAAGTGTGATAGCAAAACTAGTATGAATTTCTTTGCCCTTCTTCACAATTTCATGGAGAGAAGATTCATTCTTACCATAGATCTGAGCAAACTCAACATACAATATTTTTTCTTTCCTTATTAATTTAGGAACTTTCACCTTTTCCCTTAAAAGAAGCACTTTACCTCTTCTCTTTCGCATATCTGGATTCCAGGTCACTACTGTTGCACTTTGTGGCCATTGTTAAGTGAAAAACATTGCTTGAACACAAGCACTGTGATACTGCGTATATAACCAAGACGGTTTTATATATATGCATATATATAACTGACTACTGGGCAGATACACTGGACAAAGGGATGATTCATGTCTGTGGTGGGATGGAGCAGGACAGCGGGAGATTTCATCATGCTACTCAGAACAGTGTGCATTTTAAAACTTATGTTTATTTCTTGAATTTTTCATTTCATATTTTCAGACTGGTTGACCGAGGGTAACTGAAACCGTGGAAAGTGAAACCATGAATAAGGGGGACTAATATATACATATTAAGGGAAAGTTTCTTAGTTTTATTCTTTTCATATTTACAGATCTCTTATGACAATATGAGGAATGAAGTGGAGAAAATTAGAAACTCCAAATTCTAATATCTGAGCTATGGCTGGATTTAAATACTAGCAAACAAATCTTTCTATATCTGTCCTCAATTACAAGACGATAATAAAGAGATCTACTTGCTAGTAGTAACCTATGTGCTAGTTTGATTTCTCAACCCAAGACATAACTACAAAACAGTGCTGGAAGATATCCATAAAAAGGCACAACTGAAAAACTCAAGAGAGTAAAAAAGGCTCTAACTTCCTTCTGAAAGACACATGAACTTGGCCACTCCCATTCAAGTTCAATTTAACAAATATTTATTGAGTGTCTGCTTTTTTTCATTCATTTATTCAACAAGAACTTATTGAACACTTACTTTGTACCAGGCATTACTCTAGGTAATAGAGATAGAGAAAGGAATAAAACAAAAATCCCTGCACTCATGGAACTTATAGTCTAGAAGCATGAGCGATAATAAACTTGCAAATAAATAAAATATGTAGTATGTCAGATAGTGACAAGTGCTATGGAGAAAAACTATGCTATGAAAGTTGGAAAAGGAGCTAGGGAGGGTCAGGATTAGGGAAAGGGGCATTGCAATGTTAAGTAGATGGTCATGGAAGGTGACATTTGAGTGAAAGCTGATGGAGGTCGGCTTGCAAAATAAGGAAGGAAATGCACAAATGTCACCCTTTTCTCTATAGTCCTATGGACCTTGCATTCCACTAGGCTGTGTTTATTGGTAACGACCTATTTAACTAAACAAAGGGTGCTGTCAGACTGAATGAGACACTCCTTTAGGTAGAGGTGGAAACTGACAACTTGACTCAAACTTTAAAGGATGGGGAGAGACTGGATGTGATGTCTGGTGGGGATGGCAGAAGAATGACATAAGCAAAGGAGGCCCCAGGCAGGAAGAACACCGATTTCTCTAGCTGAAGATCTTCCTTGCTTCAACAAAGAGGTAAGGGATAGAGTTACTTACATGACATGGAGAAGCCACTATAAGCCAGTTGGAGAAGGTCACACTTGGTCATAGAGGCTATAGGAAGCCACCAAAGTTAATTGAGCAGGGAAGTAACATGATGAAACAGTATTTTAGTAAAATTAATACAGTGGTAGAGTCAGACTGGATTGGAATAAGGAGAAGCTATAGGCAGGGAGCCATTTAAAATCTTATTTTTGTCATCCACACATTAATTTATAAGGGCTGGGTCAGAATGGAAGCAGTGAGAACAGTGATATTTATGAAGGAGTGATGTTTATACAGAATAAATGACAGGCCTTGTTAGCTGATTAGATCTGAAGGGTAAAGAAGAGGAAGAAGTAGAGCTGACACATTATAAAGAGAAGAGCAGATGGGGTCATTCTATGACGGAGAATTTTGTGGTCCAAACAGGGTGTGACTTGCTCAGGATCACATAGTTAGTGAAAACCTGAAGCCAGAACCCAGATTTCCTGCTTTCCCCTCCATTAAATGATTCCAAAGTTTTTAACTGGCAAGTGGGAAATAGTGCCACAAACAGAAATGAGTGATTATGGAGGGACAGCAAGCTTATACAACTGGGTAGAGGAGACGGAGAGTTTCGGTTTTATGTTTGTGGAGTTTGAAGATATTTAAGTGGAAATATCTGGGGGGGTTGGAAATGCCCCGTACTAGTCTGTGATCTCGGGCCAGTCACTTAACCTCTCTGAGCCTTGGTTTCCCCAGCTGCAAAGTGAGGATAATGTTATTACTTAAGGGTTGTTATTAATTAATATTTGAAAAGCGCTTGATACAGGCCCTGGTACAAGGTAAGTGTTATTTGTCTGTTGTAAAAAATAAGTAAGATGCAATGTAAAGAAAGAGATTGGCTTTCTGAGGAGGTAAGAAAAAGAAGTTATGGAGAAAACTACAGGAGAATTTGGGATAATTGATATAAGATCTGTCATAGAAGGGAGGAATTTTATAAAGGTGAGAAACAAAATCAAATGACACAAAGATGCAGAGAAAGAGGAAGGTCTAGAGATGTCACATGGTGTGGAAAGAAGGAAGCCTTTCAGAGTGGGCTTTGGACAGAGTGGCAATTAGGAAAGAAGCCCTAGAGGGAAATAGGAGGGAGTGAGAAATGAAGCAAGGCACTTAGCTATTTTTGAAGTTTGCCAGAGATCTGTGACTGTACCCAAGAGCAGATAGAATATTTAAAAATAGGCATTTGCCTAATTTAGTGGATAACACACTCATGGTGAATTACCAAAAGGCTGTTAAGGAAATCTGGAGTCATTTCTAACCATCATTTCTAACTAAGGAATTGATGGGATGGAGGATAATGATGCTGGCTTTACTTTCATAGTTACGTACCAAATGCTAAGGTGAATGAGTTGAATGCAGCATAAGCTGACATAAGATGGGAGATTTTAAGATTCCTCCCCCTCTCCCCCCCCCACACAAAAGTTTTCCTTAATTGCAAATTCTGAAAATTTGAGATACTCTCATTACATTTTATTTATGTTTGTGTGGACAACAATATATTTTGCCCTGTATGAAAGTGTATGTCACTATCATTCAGAAACTAAGAGAAGCCCATCCGAAAGGCTGACTTAGTACACGGTAGACTGAAGATTCTAGTGTAAAACAATTTTCTACAAATCATCTATTTGTTCCCAGTTTGAAGAGGTATTGAATTGTTATTATTGAATTGTTCTCTTAGTATTTTTCTATGTACATCTTTGCTTATAAATTCCAGTGTGGTAAACATACCTGAGAGAATTTTGAAAGTCAGAAACTCCACATTTCAAAAAGTTTTCTTTTCTTTAGGTCTCGTTTCATAGTCTATGTAATGTCTCACTTATGACCTGTGCCTTATACTATGCTTAAAGCCATTGATACTTGAAGTGGGGAGGGGGAGGAGAGTTACCTAACCAGCTCTGAAGAATTACTAAACTACCTGAGCTAGCTGAAACCAGAGAAAGAAAGGCAGTCTGTACTGTGTTCAAAGTTCGGTGCGAATTTTACACAGCACATCTCAATTCAGACTAACTATAATTTCAAGTGGTCCATAGCCACATGTGGGTAGTGGCTACCTACTGGACAGTAGTGCAGCTTTGAACCAAACGTATCTCGATTTAGTATTTTTTTTAAGGGTCAGTTGACAAACAGAGGCATTACATACGGAGTGCTCTAGCAGAGTAAAACTTAGAGCAAGTCGGTAAACACAGACTTTTCCACTCCAGTGAGCACTGGGACTTTTCTGATATTTTTCTTGAGTTTGGGGCTGGACTTCTTCATACACTTCTCGGTCTGAAGCTGAAATAAACAGGGTTGCAGCATATGCTTGAATCACAGGAAAGTGCTGTGCACTGTTTCTCCAGAGAAAAGCATTTATCTCCAGGTTAAAAAAAAATTGTTTATTCCTTGCATGGACTCGTATTTATTTAAAGTCACCCCAATAAGGATGACGGACATACTGTTTGCGAAAGTTGGTATGTCTCTTGAAGTTTCCACCAACTTTTTTTTTTTTCCTTCTTCTTGTTAAATTTAAGCTGCCTGCTCCAGGGCATGGTGCGAACACTTAACAAGGCCTGGCGCAAAGAATTCCAGGGTTGGTTTCCCGACCTCGCGCCAGCTGTGCGGGGCGGGCGGAAGGCGCGCGTTCCCAGCTCTTGCCCACAGGCCTTTGGCAGCCTCGCAGCTTCGGGCAGATGGAGTTTCCGGCCTCGCTCAGTGGTCGCCGGGTCATCCGCCCGAGCTCCTTTCTGCCTGAGGTCAGGGCCCCGGGAAGAAGCGCGCCGGCGGTCCGAGCATCCGGAGGGCAATTCCGCGGTGGGTCCACACCCTCCTCGCTCTCCGCTCCCTGGGCGCCGGGCCGGGCGCCGGGTGGCAGGGCTGGCCGCCGCAGCTCTGAGGTTGGGCCCTCCCCCGGGGTGATTTCAGCGCTGAAGGTGGAAATGCGGAAGTTTCCAGCTGCGACTGACAGATGAGGCTCGCGTCCCGCTCGGCACGTGCTGCTGCAGCCCTGCGGCGCACCGGGCCCCCGCTGGGCGCCTCAAGAGACCCTAGAGGCCGAAGAGCCGCCGGCGCGCCATGGCCACGCTGCCGAGCGCAGAGCGCCGCGCGTTCGCGCTCAAGATCAACAGGTAAGAGGCGCCCCGCGGCGGACTCGCGGCCGCACCGCCCCAGCTGGTGGAGTGCGGCGCCTGGGCAGCTCCAAGGGGTGGGGGTGGAGGTTGCCGCCGCCAGAGTCCCAGGGAGTCCGCGGGGAGGAGTGGCGCCCGAGACACGGCGGGGGGCCCGGGGCCTCGAGGCGGCTGCGGTGGGGCCGTTGAGTGCGGGATGGCCCGAGGGCTGGGCTCAGCCAGCCCCTCCCCGAGAATCCCAGTTCCCCTGATGGTCCTGTCACCAGTGCCTCTTCCCGGAGCCACGTCCCCAGCCCCGCCTCGCCCGCGCCGCCGTCGGGGTTGACAGGTGGCCGGGCCCGGGTAGTGGGAAGGACTCCCGGTTAGCAGTGCTGGGCACGCCACGGAGTTTCTCATAAACTGCGCCTTGCTTTGAGGATGCTCCGAGAAGGGGCGAGAGAAGAAGTGGTTGAAATGAGGAGAGTTTTGCTTTGAGGCAGCTGCTTCAAGATTTCGGTTGTTCTGAGGAGGACGCTTTCCCCTCTCGTTTTATTTTTCCAGAAAAAAGTTTGGCTCCTACTGACATCGCTATTTTTATTCTCTGGTCCAAAGGAGCCATGAAGTGGAAAAAGTGATTTTTTAAATTCTCCGTTTAAATAAACAAAAAGGAATGGCCTGTGGCTGACATTTTTACATTTCTAGCACTCCAGCAAAGAACTAAGGACATAGATCCAACCCACCATCCAATTCATAATGAAAATTGCACAAACTAAATGCAAGCACATCTACTGCTCTCACTAAAGGTGCTTTAACTGCAGTTTTTCCTCCACTGAAAACTGCCGAGAAGTGTTTGGAGACATTTTTGTCGTGCCCTGAGAAATCTAGACTGTCTGGTTAAAAGATAATATGAAATTCATCCTGAAGGGTCAACTTATTATTTTACTACCCTCATTGCTCTAGGATTAGTTAGTCTTCTTTTAGCCGAGCCTGTGAAAGGCTAGTTCCACAGTCCATTTTTGTGCTGCTAGACTGTGAAGAGGTTTCAGCCACGGGGAATTAGAAGCCCGGAATAATGAGGTGGTAAGGTCTTGCAGAGGGCATATTGAGCTTTACTGGCCTTTTTATTTCCACCTGTTGTGTAGCTGTGAGCAAACCATTTCTCTTACCTTACTATTTCTTCATCTTTAAAATGAGTTTAATTATTGTTGTGTACTGTGTATTAATGTTGGAGGCCGAAAGGTAGTAGTCAAAAGGCATAAAGTATATCAGGGATTTCCCTATGGGGATTTTTTTCTGCATCGGGTTTCGTGCCTGTTGCCATGCAGGAGGGGCAGTTGGTTTGGGGGCTGAGGGAAATCAAACTGAAGTTCCTGATGGATGTACCACTTGTCATAGCTGCTGCTCTTCTGTCTCTGTGAATTTCAGGTCAGGTGGTATGACTGACAGAAATGTGTTAGAGCCTTGGGGTTGGGTGGAATCAATCTGAGGAGAGCAGTAGAACCTGCACTGATCCCTACAAGGCAGTCTTGAAAGCAGCAGTGGGGTTGGTGTAGCCTGGGGGTTCAGAATAAAGGCCCTTTCTGACTTACTTAAAATGGTATGGATGATCCTATTTGCAAAGCAGAAATAGAGACACATAGAGAACAAATGTATGGATACCGAGGGGTAAGTGGGAGGATGGGAGGAATTGGGAGATTGGGATTGACACATATACACTGTTGATACTATGTATAAAATAGATAATGAACGAGAACATACTGTATAGCACAGGGAACTCTACTCAGTGCTCTGTGGTGACCTGGATGGGAAGGAAGTCCAAAAAAGGGGGAATATATGTATATGTATGGCTGATTCATTTTGCTGTACAGTAGAAACTAACATAACATTGTAAGTCAACTATATTCCAATAAAAATTAATTTAAAAAACCAATAAGACCTGTGTAACCATGACAAATACTAGTCTATTAATCCAACGAAACAAGATAATCAAAACTGAAATAAAAACAAAGATTCTAAAAAAAAAAAAAAGAATAAAGGCCCTGGCTGGAATCACATCTGCTTACCGATTGGCTCTCTGCACCAGACTAACTGTGTGACACTGGGCATGCTATTTAACCTCTCTAAACTTTGAGTTTTTATATGTTGAATGGAGATATTCATCGTATCAATACCTACCTTGTATGTTGAGACGATTAAGTGAAATAATATATACAAAGTGCTTAGAGTGCCTGGCTCAGAATAAATGTTAAATAAATGCTAGCTGGCTTCATCCACATTACTATCAGCTTCATCATTGTCGTCATCATCTCCATTGCCACCAACTTGAAGATTCTAAGAAAGAAAGGTAGGAAGGAAAGCTGAAGCTGGAGAACTTCCTGTGCAGGGACCAATGGGCTGGGAACAATGATGCCAGTAGCAGGTTGGAGCCCCCTTGGGGTTGAAGTTCTTGCTCATATGTCTTCCATCTCTGTGCTGAGGATACCAGACACACCCAGTGGAACAGAATGCATGATGCAATCTGACCAAGAAAGGCCCCCCTCAAGTTAAATAAAATTTAAAATGTTCCCTAATCCTCAGGCAAAAATAAGGATTGGATATTCCTGTTTAGGGGGTTCTGTTTTCCCTTTGGAAGCATTTTGTGTACTGTGTAGAGAGTTATGCAGAGGAGCTTGGCAGAAATTATTGTTCAAAGGAATGGATTAATAAGGGCATACCTAGTATTAAGATAATATTAAAGTGCACCATTTATTGATCATTTAGTATGTCCTAGACACTGTATTATGTGCTTAACAGATTATATTGTTAGATTCTTACAAAAACCCTATGAGACTCACCTGATGTCTCATACAGAAGAAGAAAATGAAGCTTGGAGATGCAGTTGCACAGGCCATGTAATTTGTTCAAGGCCATGCAAACATCAGACGCAGAGCTGGGATTACAAACTGCTCCAAAGACTGTTCTTAATTGGGCATGTGCTATTTTGATCCACATTTCTTAAGAATTTCCTTTAAAAGCAAGTAAGTAAGTAATTAAAAAAAAAAAAAAACCTTTCAGTAGCAGCATTGCAAATTGTTCTGATCAGTGTTTAACATGTAAACAAACTGTGATGTTTTGCAGTTTTGAAGTTGGAAAAGAAAATATTTTCCCTTGCATGCCTATGTACTATTCTTTTTTTAAAATAGATCAACTTAAAAAAGTAAGGCAATGTTGCAAATATGGCCATCAGTACATTCAGCATATTTTTCACCTTTCTACCCTGAATGATACAAACTATCATTAAAAAATGTTTGTGGGGTTAAATCAATGTGCTTCCTATAAAGGAAATACTCATATCTGATATATTAAAAATTTTACTTGTAAAAAGCTGAGTTCTGCCCATACCAGCCTAAAGAAAGAGTGAGCAGACTACCTCACAGTAGGAAAAGAATGTTCCTCATTGTTCCCAAATTCTTTGGCTTCCTGCAAGCAGCATTGCCCAGTCTAGGGGCAGGACCAAAGTGAAGGAGGAACCTGGGAATGCCCACCAGTGCCCATTCCCCCATGATTGCCCTGGCTCTTTCATATTCTTATGAAACCTAAATTTCCATGTGTTGGAAATCATCATAGGATTTTTTTTTTGTTTCATTTTGAGCACCAAGTGTAATTGTATGATGTGATCGTATGATGTGTTACAGTTGAACATCTCTCTAGAACCCACAGCTTGGGGAGATACAAGAGAAAAGATCTACCACTGAATTTTTCTAAGCTGGAAGAGTAAAGTTTAATTTCTTATAAGTGTTAGATATTTGTCTTTGTTTCAGTTTAACTGTCACTAACTTCCTGTGCGCAAAGGAAAGACTACATCTGAATTAAGCAGTTCATAATTATGTTTGCATTGGGGAATTCAGGCACTGCTGCATTAAGTGTCATAATACATTCCTTGTATGAGCGCCAAGTCTTATCAACTACCTTTCTTTCTTAGTAGCGTTTAGGGCTTTCGTGTGTTATAAAAATTATTATTACTATTCTGAAAATTCATTAAACAAAATCTTAGTTTCTTTCAAACACAGGATATAGAACTAGATCAAATATTAAAGTAATGTAAGGACCTTGGGTAAAGAGAGGAAAAATGCACAATGTAGAAAAAATATTAATGATCCTCTGGACATTAAGGATTGAAAGGGGTAAATAATAATGACTTATGCTTGTATAATTCTTACTGTATGGCAGGTATGGGTCTATGCATATCATAACTCATTCACCCCTGTGATGTAGGAACAATTACTATCTCCATTTTACAGATGGAAAAACTGGGCACTAAGGACTTACGAAAATTGTCCAAAGTCACAAAGAGCTAAGACCAGAGCTGTTATTCAAATGCAGGCAGCCTTGCTTCAGAATCCTCTCCCTAAACCACTATACACCATGCTACTGTCTCAGTTTTTTTTTTTTTTTTGCCTCTCACTGTTGTGGCCTCTCCCATTGCGGAGCACAGGCTCCGGATGCGCAGGCTCAGCGGCCAGGGCTCACGGGCCCAGCCGCTCCGCGCGGCATGTGGAATCTTCCCAGACCAGGGCACGAACCCGCGTCCCCAATGTACAAAGTGACATTGACATTGACAATGTAATGAGATCATAACATGACATTGTAAATCAAGTATACTTCAATAAAAAAAGAACAATCTCAATAATTTTCGGCATAAAGACCAGAACAAGAAGGCGGCACTGAGCTGTTCCTGAGAAGTGTTTGCTAATTTTGTCTGCAAAAATGATGCAAGCATAAAATATATGTATTCATATGTCTACATGCACGTCTGCAGTGAAACAGTGCTATTCTTTAGTAGTGATGGCAGAGCAGGATGTGGTTGCTTTCAGAAATTGCTTCATTCATTGGACGTGTTCTAGACCAAAAACCACGAGAAGAGGCTTCAGGCAATTGAACTCAGAATTTTGGTCTTTCACATTCAGAATCATTTTATTTTTGGATTCTTGGAAAAGCTCCACTTGAACTTCAGTCATCTAGTACAATAGAAAGAACCTTCT